CCCCAAAACCCCAAAACCCCAAAACCCCAAAACCCCATTACATATTTAAATTATTGAAAATAGCTAAATATCAAATGAGTCTCAATAGCGAAGACCTCCATTCTTCACAAATAAGCGAGAAGGTAAATCCCCAAAATACCTTTAGGTCCACGATGATTACTTCAGAGGATACACAGAATGAGAAATAGTTAACATACAAGATGAGGAGCCTGAAGACCAAGTTACCTTCGTCTTTAGCCCTGTATATGAGTAACTTCCCTTTGAATATTATATACACTTTAGTGCAGATTTATAGGAACAGTAGCCATTTCCCATATGTCTTCATGAGTTATTCCCTGTTTTATAGAGCAGAGAGGACACGGATCGTCTCACACTCCAGCGAGAAAATTAAAGATAGCAGCTCAAGTGGAGCTAAGGAATCTAGTAGGAAACTGAGAATCAAAGATAAAAATGAAATTATTTGCACGGAAAGTCAAGAATCGCAAACTCAAAGACAACGCTTTCGAATCAATGCAGTAAACAAGATTGAAGAAAGAAATCCAGAGCCCAGTCGCTCTCAGTTGTACTGGAATTTCTCTGCAATAAACAAATCACTAGGTAGAATTCATACAAAGAAGAAATCTAAAGATCTTCTATATAAGAAATTCTTTAGTAAACAATCTGGAGCACTTCCAAGGCATTATAAAACGGGATCAACCAGCTCTCCCAAAAAGTTTGTCTCATCTCGGAAACAAGGTTACGGGAAGGGATTAAGCGCATCAAGTACTGACATAAATAAAAGGAGCATTAGACTAGAGCGAGGCCTCTCTACCAAGTCATGTAGCCTTACCCAAAAATTCGAAAAATCCCTAAAAACAAATACACCATGAAAAGTCCAGATTTCCGCAATATCCACATGCCCCGATTCAGACTTAATCTCAACAAAACACCCCATTACAACCTCCAAATTCAAACCTCAGCGCTCAAAACCCCCCAAAACCTCCAAAATCCCCTCAAAATCAACCAAACCCCCCTCCATCCCCCACAAATCCCTCCCCAAATCCTACACCCTCAAAGTAAAATCTCTCCAAAATCACCTCAAAAGTAACCATTTCCCTTAAAAATTCTAGATCTCACAAAATCTCACTCAAAGCCTTTATTTTACAAGAGGAAGAGCAGAAGGAAACCTTCCGGGTCCCCTAGAGCTAACTTTGGGTGTTTTAACTGGAGAGATTAAGAAATGGAAGTTAAACATCAATTATCCAATAAACCTGTCCAAATCCGGGGTTTTGGGGTTTTGGGGTTTTGGGGTTTTGGGG